ATGGACAACGTCCAATTTCGGATATCATCGAAGCTGACGAAGATAAACAAACTGAGAAGAAATCGTCGTTTATCAACTCCGCCTTTGTTGAAACTAGCAAGTTTTGCTCAGCTTGAACTTGTACAGTTTAATTGCATGTAGTTATCTTTTGGTTTTCAGAGGATGAACTCAATCAAAATGATGAAACGAAAGGAGAAGAAGACAAAAATCCACCTACTTCACCAAGTTCAAAGACTCTACATGATTTCCCTCATCACATTGTAGACGATGTGTTGGAAGAGAACGAAGATGAAGGGGGAGAAGAGGTGCGTTTGATTCCTACAAGATCCGATATTAAAAAATTGATTATAATGACGTTTCAGACTAAGGCAAAATCAGGGATGGCAGGGCCTTCCGAGACAACTCAGATGTCATCAAACGTTGGAACAGAACAGGACAGTACTCCATCGCCAACAACCAACGCCAATGAGTCCACAACCAAAAGGAAAACGGTAACTTAGTTATCGGGCAGGATAACTAATGGATTGCCGCTGTTAGAACTGTTTGCCCTTACACACGGTTCTTATCATAACGAAAAATCCAGGCAAACCACATAATTGTAACTCGCATTTTCTAATTAAATTCGAAAAAATAAAGACGGGAAATATTGATGATGATTAACAGTCTTAATTTTTGCTGTACAGCTTTATTTTGGATATTATGCGTAAAGGATTGCTTCATGGTGTTTGGTCTATTGATCATTTCTATCAAAAATCTTGGTTGATGTTTTACGCGGCTTGATTTTAGAATATAAGTTACTTAGATAAGATTTAATGTAGCTTGCCAAATTCGAAACTGATGTGTTAATTATTATCTCTTTAACCATAAATTTCTTGCCAACGCATGCACCATAAGTGTCTTTCTGCTCGGCTGCCCAGCACCTCTAAATAAATAGCCTGCAAAACCTGGCGTTCATCACAGAAGCGGGAAGGAAACAACATGGATTACGGAAACTTCTTGATCATCATGTTCTTAACCCTGTTCTGTCAACTTCGATAAAGCTGGTCATGCCTCTTATGAAGGACGTTCTTTTCTAGCTCTTTTTTTTTCTAGAAAGATTTTAGTTAAGCTTGCGTCTCTCAATTAACTTCTTATCGACGTACTAAATCTGATTTCGGGGTAACTACATGTACGAAACATTTTAACATGAATTCTATCTAAACATATGTCTATATTGAGAACAAAGCTTATATCGAAATGAATTTTTCTCCACTTTTCTCTATTTTTCTCCACTTACAAGCTCTTTTATTTCTTCAAAAATGAGAAATGGGAGACCTAACTTTCTGTAGATCCCCTTAGAAATTATAGCAACTTTAATGCTGCTGGAAGGATTACTTTGTAATGAGTAATGTAAGTAAGTAAATTCTTTTACAGCTGGTGAATATCCGATTAGATTAATTAGTGCGTATGCAAGCTGTGCTTTCCGCGGATGCAGCGTGCAGGCTTAGGTAGCCTCCGCGAGTCTTGCAAATAGTGTTTGCAGCAACTGAATAATTGTTTTTTAAGCCTATGTTTCACAACTGCAGATACACTCCTATTAGTTGCAAATGATGGAATGAATGGAAACCTTGTCAGTTTCATCATTCACTTAGTAGTATAATCCTTTCCATCAAATTGGCTTTTGAACATTTTTAAAACTTTGTTTATTCTGCTCTTAGCACGGAACAATTAGATTTTCGTTTTTACTATCTTTTACTGCTGAACCTTGACACAGATACACATTCTCTCTATCACTTTCATTAAGGCCGTAGTCTACCAAAATGTGGAAAGCATTAGGAGTAAAATTTCAATTTACACATTAAAGCGTACATTATATGGCTGCTAGCACTACAACAATCTGTAAGCCCTTTAAGCAAACGAAGAACTAAAACGCCGTCAGATTTCTTCGATTTTGCCAGATTTTACAAGATTACAGTGTTTCAGCTTTTACTCCATTGCCAGAATTTGGAGTTTTGAGAAGCTAATTTGAATTGCCCATCAAGGAAATTTAAAGTGTCTAGGTACTTTGTGATATCGTACTTGCTCATTATAGAACAGGTTTCGATCCAGTTATAAAATTCATTCATAGTAGGATCTCTGGCATACTTGTCATAGTGTACAATAACAAGGGAAACGCAGCATTAACAATATCTGGTGTGGAGGATCTCGCAATAGAGTTATCAGTTATTATTTCTTATATA